ACGTCTATAAAGACTAACTACAACACAAATTACCACAGGAAAGTAAAAATTTTTATTTGTTTTTCAATAATAAAAATGACCTGTAAGAAAGAGCTACAATTACAACACAATGCAATAATTAGAGGTAATTTCCCAATAGTAATTTGTTTCAATGTATTAAAAGCTCAGAGGAATATGGTCCATTAAACAACCCTTTTCCTGATCCCAAATGATAACTTCCTATCTGGTAAATTGGTTACATTTTCTCCTTATCCAGGTTTATGTACTTTAAAGTAATACTCTCTGGATATGCTGCCTTATACTCCTAAAATACATATTTAAATACACTAGCCCCTCACTAGCAGGACCCAATAAAATAGAGAAATTGCAAAGGGCAAAAATGTTGGGCTAAATTTTCACCTATCTCTACACAAACTATAAACAAAATATTCTATCTATAAACAACATATTCATAGTGAATTATTTTTTTTTTAATTGAAACATTGATTGTACAGATTTAGGGGTGCGGAGTTAAATACATTGTATGCTGATCTATTTAGGGTAATTAGTCTATTTATCATTGCAAAATGAAATCATTTATTTGTGATGTGCACATTCAACCTCCTCTCTTTTAGTCATTTGGTTGCATGCAATAAATCATTATTGATTGTAGATTTCTGGGTCGACTGTGCACCAATAGGGCTTATTTTTCCTATTTCATTGTACGTCTGTGTCCATTAAATAGCTTCTCACTATCTCCCCTCTGCCCTTCGTCTTTGCTGCCTGTAGAATTAAAAGTGGGAAATACGTTGATATAAAATCTTTCCTTAAGAAAATGATGATTTGTGAAACCATTTGAGATATTTAGCAAGATATAAATATTTATCTTCACTCTCCAGGTTGCATGAAGAGCAAGAGTTGGTTTATAAATTTGATATGTAAGCCAAAAAGAAGAAACTCCATATTTTAAACATCAACCTTGAACAGTATTCAATCCAAGAAAGGCCAGCTCAACTGTTTGGAGTCTTTGGTCATATTAGGCATGTAGTTGGATATTCTAGATGCCTTAGGTATTTCTATAACAATAAATTGTTGCTTTGAAGACTAGACATTTTTCCTGGATCTCTGAGGCCAAACAAGATCTTAACTGACAACGTTTTTAAAACAATAAGTATGTCCAAGAAAGTCCACACTGAAAGAGCACTGGAACTGGAAGACTGCATCTACTACATAACGGCTGAATATTAAATTGTTCTATATGTTATTTTTCTCTCTTTTCCTCTCTTTCTTTCTCTCCCTTTCTCTTTAGAATTTACTACTCAGGAATTTGTTCTCTTTTTGAGGCATAGATTCATAGTTCATTTTTTATTATGAACTTTTTCAAGTATACAGAATTATGTCGAGAGTAATATATTAAAATTGTAATCTAATACCCAACTTTGTTAAATTTTACTCTATTTGGCTTATATATGTTTTTAAAAAGAAATAAATTATTGTAACACCTGTAGCTCCCTATGCCTCATCCTTTCCCTGTTTCTTAAAGAAAAATCTATTTTGAATTTAGTGCTTAACTTTTCTAGAAAATTTTTTGTATGTTTACTACTTACATATGAATGTATGTATCTATAAACAGTATCATTTGCTTCTTTAAACTTGATATACTCCGTATCATTCTGTTTGCATTCTCACAGTCCTTGATTTTTTTCCCCTTTAACATTGTGTTTCTGAGATTTTTCTGTGTTGATACATTCAGTCCCCCTTTTTTTATTTAAACTTCTGTATCTATTTAGTGACTATTCTTCAATTTATCTATTCTCCTTTTCTTAAATATATAGGTTGTTTTATTTTTTCTGGAATGATTAATACATATATGCAATACACATATTTTTAAAATGTCTGCTATTGCAAATGTGGAAAAGTTTCTCCAGGGTGTACAGCAATTGTGAAAAGCTGGTTCATGGGATATTTGCATTTTTAACTTAATTGGATATTGCCAAATCACTCTCCAAGATGTGTGTTTATACCAATGTAAACAAAAAGAAATAGTATATGAGCTTCTGAAACAAACAATAAAGGTATTTGCAACTCCATCTTTCTGGGCAAGAGTTTTCTTGACTAATAAAGCCACGTTAATGCAGATAGCAAGTTGTGTGTTTACAAATGCTTTCAATACTCAATTTAAATGTTATGCTCTTGTTTAGTCTGTCTTGAGAATTACTCCCGTGTCTTCCTACTTTCAAATAAACATACCTGGAATTTTCTCAATTATTAATCTTGTCTTTTATTTACAGTAACATCTTGGACATGATCTAGGAACTATAAGTGCTGCTGTGTTCTGAATGTTTGACCCCACGCCCCTCCCAAATTCATATGTTGAAATCCTAACCTCCAAGGGGATGGTAATAGAAAATGGGGTCTTTGGGGAAGCAATTAGATCATGGAGGTACAGCCCTGATGAATGGGTTTAGTGTCCTTATAAAATAGACCAAAGGAAGCTTGTTCACCCTTCCCACCATGTGAGGACACAATGAGAAGGCACCATCTATGAACCAGAATGTTTGCCTCACCAGACACAGTATTTGCCTGTACCTTGATCTTGAACTTCCTTGCCTCCAGAGGTCTCACATTGCAAGATGGTGGAAGCAGAGAGAGAACAGAGAAAGAGCAGAGAGAGACAGTCTCCTCTCTTTTCTTTTAAAGTCCTCAGAACCACGCCACTGCCTACCATTTTTAATCCATTCACTACTGCATGGTCCTACAATCTAATCACCTCTTCAAGGCTCCACCTTTCAATTACCATAATAGGACTTCCCCGCCTCTTAACAGTCACAGTGGGGGCTAAGTTTCTAATACATAAAACTTGGGGATACAATTCAAGCTTCATTGAGGTTTGGGGGACATAAGTCAATCCATTACATTCCACCCCCAGCCCCCCAAAACTCTTCTCCTCTTCGTATGCAAATACATTCATTTCATCACCAAAGTCTTAACTTGTTTCAACTCAAAAGTTCAAAGTTCAATGTCCCACCTTTGAAATCAAAACAAGGTATCTACTTCCAAGACACAATGGTGGGACAAACACAAGGTACAAATTCCCATTCCAAAAGGAAGAGATAAGCATAGAAAGGGGTAACAGTTCCCAAATAAGTCCGAAACCCTTCAGGGCAGGCATCAAATCTTGTAGCTGAAGAATCACGTACATTGACTCCATGTTTGAAGTCTTCTGTGGGCTGGTATGTGGGCTGGTATGGGGGTTGGGTACCCAAGTCCTCGGGCAGCTCTTCTTCTGCTTTCCTGGTCTCAGTTAATGCTTTAGCTCTCTCAGGCTAGTATTCCACTCTGGTAGCTCCACATGTCAGGGGCCTCCATGGCAGTTCCACTCTCATGGCTGCATTAGGCATGGCACTGATGGGGTTTCTCAGCTGCAACTCTGACCTCACCTTTCCACTTGGCATTTCTGTAACCAAGACTCTATGCAGTGACTCTGCCATTGTGACAGATCTCTTACTGGGCCCCAGATTTTTCTTTGAAATTGGGGTGGAGGCTTCTAAGCCTTCACAGCTCTGGCATTCTGTAACTCTGCAGACCTAACACCATGTGGACACAGCCAAGGCTTCTGGCTTGTATCTCTCAAAGCTGTGGGTCCAGCCATGCCTAGGGCTGATGTAGCCATAGCTAGAGCAGCAGAGGTGCAAGAAGAAGCATCATGAGGTGGTCCTGGAGCCCGTGGAGGGCACTTCAGGTCTGTTCCCCAAGACTATTCTGTCTCTCTAAGCCTTTGGGCCTGAAATGGGAGGGTTGGCCCCAGAGGGTTCTACACTGCCTTCAGGGCCTTTTCCCCTTCTCTCGATAATCCCTTTCTTTTGTACTAATCTTCTTAGCACCACTGTATTTTTCTTCTGAAAATGCTCTCTACTTCTCTGCCAAATGCCAGGCTGCAAATTTTCCAAATCTTTACATTTTCCTTCCCTTTTTAACTCTGGCTTTACGTTGTGCCTTAGCTGCCATAACTCAGTGTAGGCTATTACATGTAGCCATGCAACTTCCTTAATGCTTTGCTGCTTAGAAACTTCTTCTGCCAAATACTTTGGTTCACAACTCTTCAGTTCCATTTTCCACAAATTCCTAGGGCATGGACACAATGCAGCCAAGTTCCTTGTCAGTTCATAGCAAGGTTGATCTTTTCCCCAGTTTCTAATAAACTCCTTATTTCTACCTGAGACCTCCTTAGAATGGTCTTTACAATCCATATTTCTATAAACATTCTGGTCACCACCATCTAACCAGTCTCTAAAACATTCCAAACTTTCCCTGGTTTTCTTGTCTTCTAAACTTGCACCAGCATCTAGGTTTTTTCCAGCCTGTTCCTCTAAATTCTTCCAGCCTCTCCTCAACACCCAGTTCCAAAGCCGCTTCCACTTTTCAAGTATTGGTTATAAGGAACACCCACTTCCCTGGTACCAATTTTCTGTATTAGTCCATTTGTGTTGCTTATTACAAAATACTTGGAACTGGGTCATTTATAAAGAAAAATGAAATTTATTGCTTACAGTTTCTAAGGCTGGGAAGTCCAAAGTCCATCATGTGGTGGTGACAGTGACCCAGGGATCACACATTGCAAGATGGTGGAAGCAGAGAGAACAAAGAGAGACAGACTCTCCCCTCTCGTCTTTTAAAGCCCTTAGAACCTGCCCATGACCACCATTTTTAATCCATTCATTATGGCATGGTTCTACAATCCAATCACCTCTTCAAGGCTTCACCATTCAATTACCATAATAGGATTTCCCACCCTCTTAACAGTCACAGTGGGAACCAAGCTTCTAATACATAAAACTTGGGGGACACAATTCAAGCTTCAGTGAGTTTTGGGAGGATATAATTCAATCTACTACACAGTATAAAAAATATCTACTGAAAATTTTCAGGAAATGTTTTCTTTGATATTTTATTTAAATTCTGTATATAAAATTTGTTTAATATATTTGGGGTTTAAAAACAAAATTTGCACACAAAGCAACACTGTTTATAAGCATAGAACACTAATGTTTGTGTTTTATTATAATAAAACCAAAATATACATTTAACAATTCTCTACTATTTTATACTGCAAGACTACATTTCTCTCAAAATAGTAAAACTGTAAATGCAAAATTGATTGCTAACCACTCACAATACCAGAATTAAATTACATGATTAACTATGGCTTCTGACAGATTTTTTTGCCCTTTCTCAAAAAATAATCTATCTCAAACTTTCCATAAATACTTTATACTACAAAATATTTAAATGAGAGGTAAAAGTCACATGCATGCTCCTGTCTTTGCACTTGCAATGTGTAGAATATGGGAATCTTAGATTTTATTTTTTTAACCTGAGATGTAAGTTGAATTATGTAAATTTATGGTCATTTACTGAGAGGAATATATCTTTCTATAAAAACATCTATTCCTAAACTGTCCATTCTCAGTAAGGCTAATCAATTCCAACATGTTGTGTAAGACAAATGTGACATTCTAAAGGCAGGATAGTTCAATTTTGATTTCCATTTGTATTTATATTATATATATATAGAAAAGAAATATATCTTGTATTTAAGTTTAAGAAAATCAGTGTTTAATGAGTGCTCTTTATTATTTTGTAGACATCTGAATAGGATCAACTTGTCCTCGGAAATACAATTTTGATAATATTGAACAACAGGCACTGACTTTTTTTAACTTATCTTTTAGCTGAGTCTACACAATTCATCAGGAACAAAATGTAATAGCATATGAAGAACCAAAATATAGATCAAAGGCAAAATTCAAGAGTAAGACTATTTTGTAGCCAGCATAGTGTACACAGCATTACTTTAGCCAACAGTATGATGAGATTTTGAATTTCTTCTACTGCTGTTATGGCTTTTGCAAATTACTAAATTTCTCTATAACTATCTTTCCATTTTTAAAGTAATTTGGTTGGTTTTAAGAAATGTTTATTCAGTAATATGAATGTAGTGTTTTGAACTCTTTGGGAAAAAAGGTTCTACATAAATTAATTACTTAGACTATCCATTTCTAAACAAACTCTTAAAATTTCTAATAAATTAAATGTAAATGAATACAGACAGGCAGGATTCCACTTAGCAGCATAAATAGCTGGAATGAAATGCAGGTGAGCACACACAAAGAAGTGGGATATATGTATTGAAGACAAGGGAGAAAAATAGGAAACCAAGAAGAAACAGACACTTTAAGCCCCTCTCAATAGAAAGTTGATTTCTTAGCATATTTGAAACTATTAACTACAATATTTTTCATTATTTCAAAGCAAATTTGGAAAAATCTTTAGTGGTGAGGAATTATATATTGTGTTTGTGAATTTAATATATTCATACTGTTCCTCTAAGTGTTCTAAACAAAAGATTAAAAAATAAAACATAGTTCCAATATCCTCTTTCTTTAAAAATACACAGAAAATTTTTGTTCCCATATGTTGCTTTTTTATTATATGAAATTTTATTTTGCTAATAATATTTCCAATGTATCTTAAGTAATTATCATAAATTAATAGTTTTGTATCTAAAGCGGGCAGAATATTAGATATAAGGCATAAAATAGGTTACCGAAATTTTGTGTGAATAATTAAGATTAGAACAAAGTAACTAAAAAATGATTTGAACATTCATATTTAGATGAAAACAAAATTTATTTTAACAAGTCAATCCTAACGTCTGAGCTTCATGTAATTTTTTTCAAAGCCATTCATAATTTGATCTTACTGTCTGATACACAAATATTTGGAAATTTATAAAAAATAAAGCATGGTCCCACTTTTTTGCCTTGAGCTGCTATGAGTTCCTGAAACATTTTTATCCCAGCAAATCAATAGTTACAAATAGTATTGTTATGACATTCAATTAGTAGTCTGATCCTGCCACAACTATTCTTTCACATAACTTTCTAAAAGAGTGATTAATTCTGATTTACTTTTATTAAAATTATTGCTTAACTTTTCCTTATAATGATAAATCTACAAACATTTTGAGTATAAGATTAAATGGGGGTATGTAACTTCATATGTCAGTGTGACTACTTTGGGATAGATAAGCAATGCAAATAAAATGAAAGTAAAATAATGTTTTGAACATAGAGCCAGTCACAGACTCTGTAATAAGTTGCCCTGTAATCACATGGCTTTCTCACAGACTTTTCTTTCAAGATACGTAGAATGCATGAGAAATGAGCAACGTCTGTTATTTAGTTTTCTGAAAAGCTGCCTTCCATGTGAAGAAGTGACTAATTTTTCATTTCACACTATAAATGGCGTGAAAAGGCAAAACAGAAGAAGGCTAAGGGTTTTGTGTTAGAAGAAGGAAAGGTGAGTCCTGCTTAAGCAGACAGGAAACACAACATACATACTTAGAGGAAAAGTCAAATTGGAAACATTTGATAGTGTTAACAAGATATGAATGATGCTTATGTTAATGTTGTGAGTTTATTTTCTTTACGCGTGGTAGGCTTATTTATTTTTAAGTTAATAAAACTACGCTACTTTTACAACACATCACCTCTGAAATGCAAAAAGGTTGTTTGAAGAAAAGATGTCAAAGAGTTCATTTAACCCTTCCCGTTGTTAAAATTTTGCACTTATTCTGTTATTCAACAAATATATATTCAACAAATATATATACCCAATCCCTACCACTGTCATCTACTTAATTCTATCTCCTCTGTATTATATATTGTTTTTCCCATTCACTCAAATATAATCCAATAATCCAATATGCAGGAAGGAATAAAGGCAGTAAATGAAAATAATATAGAGTATGATAAATATTTAGAAAAAAGAGAGGGAACACATACTGAAATACCACCGGTTATAAATAAAGCATGTTCATCCTTCCCATGATAATTTAGAAATCTTAGTTTTCCTCCGACTTTTACTAGCAGTTTGGACTATAAATTGGCAGTTACTTATAATCTAGTGAAAAGGGCTCCATTACATTTTGCCCATTTTATTTGTGATTGTTCTTCCTTTTCATGGGGATATGAGTTTTCCCCAAAGGCAGAATTTATGGCTGTCTTTCCTCTGTCTCCTATCTGCATACCTTCCTTTTAGGATGCAGTATACATCATGATGTTTCCCTTATTTTATTAAAATATTCTCCATATTTTAGTAAAATATTTATTAAGCATTCTGTCCCTGTAGAGCTTAGCATCTATTCTAGAAACACATAACTGAGCGCCAACTTCTCTCTGGGAACCTGTTACTCCTGACAAGTCATAAGGAATCCTGGGAGAAACATTAATGCCCTTCAGTAAATCAATGTTGCAGTATGTTAAATGCAACCGCTATGGCCTGAAAGAAATAACGCACTTTTCCAAATTTCTACACCATACTCACTAGGATAGTTCCTGTGGATAATGTGAGTTGTCTTAATTTGTGTCTTCCTTCCAATTCCTACCACAACGTAGCCAGTTCTAGAGTGGAATGATATATCTGTTCATGAGAACATGGCACAACTGCACGATAAACTCCATGCTTAATGGACCTAAAAAGGAGTAAAGCATCTTAATACAATATCTAATTTGATATTTGCCTAGCTCAATTACTCGCGTGACATAATAAACTCTAAAACTCAAAAAATAAAGCATTTACAAGTGTGAAGCCCCTATTTTGAGGATAATTCTGATATTTTGCAGGTACAAGTTTCATTCCTGGAAAACTGGTGTAGATGAATTATTTGCCCTTACCATCCCATATTCACCATATGTAGTCCTATTCAGACTATTGTACCTTAGCAAAACTCTATGGAAAGCATTTATGAGTTAGAATAAGGGATGTTCAAAACAGAAGACAGTATTTTTGCAGATAAAGAATTCTTTTCTTTAAATTAAATAGAAAACTACGTGGCCATAGCTCTAGGAAGCTCATCCAGGTCTCTGTGATGTCTTCGATTCCGTTTCTTCTTCATTTCCTGCATGTGCTTCCACTTTGGGCTGCCCTTGTTTCGCTGTCTCCGCTTCTCCCTGTGCCACATCTGTTCGCAGTACTGGTCGAGGCTGAAGTTTGGGCTGCTAAGGATTTGGATGTAGTCTTTGTATCTCAACCGTGACTCAGCCAATAGATCCTTAACCTGCCCCTCCTCATTCTCTGCCCTCTGGGTATTTTCCATCTGCTCATTCTCAATGACATTCAAAGTCAGCTTTACAATGGTGTGGATGAAAGTGTGCTCCTGGGCTTTGCAGTAATACATCCCAGAGTCCTTCCTCTGCAGACTTCGAATCAGTAGCCCATATTCCGTTTTAATGATCCTTTCATCGGGTTTCAACTGTAGAATTGGAAAAATATAGGTAATAAATTAAAAACAGAGAGGCCTATGAGCAAATGAAAACAGGCTACATAGTTTTGCTTAGATAAATCTAAAAGATATATTATCTGTTTCTCCATCATCAAGCAAAATATTGTCAGCCACAGTCGGAGAGGGTAAAAAAATTCAACTAAAGTAACAGCTCCCAAACCATATTCTGAATTTTTCACATTTGTATCTCATTAAGTATAACTGAACCTTTGGAAGACAGTTAATTTTTCTCCCAGTATACAGATAGGAATGAAAAGCTGTGAAAAAGTAATGACGTAAAACTGGAAACTATCAACGGACCTTCTTTACAGAGATTTCGGATACTAATTGGTGTGCTAAGATCACAAATTGGTATCTCAATTCCAGAACAAGAATGTAATATTAACAGGCACTGTGTAGAAAAGGAACTCTAGTGCATGCTACTACCTGTAATGTAGGATAGAACAATGATTCCAAATGGAATTCACTCTGTTTTCTAGACATCACCAAATAAATGATTTGAATAGCATATGGAAGCTATAAATGGTGACTTGTTAAAAGCCAAGTGGAAAGGCGTGGATACAGCCTTTTGGATGTTAGAGCTGTAACTGAGTAGGACCATAGTCATAAGGTTAGCAACATTTGAAGCTGAATTTTCCATTTTATTATAGATTGAATTGTGATACTGCGTGTATATTTGATACTTTAGACTATGACATTTGTAGAAATATTTGCCATACCTCAGTATACCATAACATGGTTATGTGATTTCAGTGTGAAAAAGCACAATGAACAAAAAAGAACCTCCCCTGAAATGTGATGCTCTTTACCCTTTGAAGCAATATTACTGAAAGACAATTCAAACATTAAGCTTTCCTGGCCCACAGTCTGGTGTGAATCGTGAACCTCTCTTCAGTAAAACTAGAGGCATGTTTACCGACACAAGAGCCCTGTTTAATGTAGAGTATTGTTGAGTGGTTCAGCATTAAGTGGAATAATAACAACAAAGAAGTCTGGAAGATTTCCCAGTTTACACATTTGCCCCTGTATCGAAGACTTTTAGTTGATGAAAATCAAGTAGGCATAAAGATGGCTAAATTAAATTTATTCACACTGGGTGGACTATAGTCTGCATCATTATGTGAAAAATATGTAAGAAAAAATCTCTTTAATTCTGGAAATATGAGAAAAGGAAAAGCAACACCTCTGGCTACCAGCCCAGTTAACTAACAAGGATATGGCAAACCACCCTCTGTGCCAGAAAAGTGCAGCTGGCAGGGTACCATTGGAGGCCAAAGGCAGGTCACAGCTCAGATTCCTGGTTAATGAGGCTGAATGGTCTCCAGGCCTGTCTCTGTTTTGCACTGAATCCACACCACCAAGGTTTGTTTGGTTTTGTTTGTTTGTTTGTTTCCCCTTACTTTGACCATTTGGTGAGTTGAATGTATAGTATTCTTTTTCTAATGGGTTTATTCTAAGGGCCCAGATATTTTAAAATTCTATTGTGATACAAACTAACTTTGAATTCATTTACATTCTCAGAAACTATGAGTCTAATGCCTAAAGAAATGTGAATTTGAATTGTTAGAGTTCTAAAAGGCCAATCTTAAACAGAAGTGGCAATCTCAAATTTAATACACGACATATATATTTTTTTCTTTTAAATAATTTCATTGCAAAAATTATCTTACAAATTTTAAATAAATCTTTGATCTCAAAATACTGGTTCCATAATCTAGATTCTGGTCTCTATCTGCTCTGTTCCCTATGATGACTCATTTATCTTCCCCAACTGGTCTCCCATCTATCAAGTTGGTGGCATAGCATATGGTGTACTTGGGGGGATTAAAAGCAAAGCTCTCTGCAGGTTAAAGTGTGAAGTATTATTAGCAACATTATAGACTACTGCCATGTTGCCTGAGAGCTAATATTCTGAAGTCTTTATTTCTGTAATTATCTTAATAGAATATGGCCTGAGGTCATCAGCATGACAATCAACGTGAGTACCTTCACTTTCAGTTTAGCTCCAGAAATTTTTACATAGCTGGTATCCTTGCTAATGTTAAAACTGCTCTTAATGTGGCTTTTACAGACTGTCACAGCTCTGACTCAGTACTTTTTACTGTGCTCTTTAATATTCTGACAGGAAGAAATTATGACTTTGATTTCACACATATTGTGTAACACTTCATCATTATTTTTGCTATCCTCTTTTTGTATCCTGTTTATGTTGTTTTACTCTGAAGTCTGGTTCCTTTCCCTCCTTTTCACTCTTGTTCTGTCCCCACAGGACTCAGAATTTCATAAACACCTGGCATTTCATTACTCGGTCATGATCCTTCACCTTTCCTTTCTTCTATGGAATGTTAAATTTGTTTTTTTGGTTTTTAAGCTATAAATATAAAACTTGCTTTAATAGACTTCAGTCTTTCTGGATTTTCCTAATGTCTATTAGATCATTTAACTGACATTTTTTGCACCTAAAATTTCAAAAGGGTGCCTTAAAAAAAATGGCATCTTTGATAAAATACATTTTGAATTGACATACAGTATTTTCAGAGGATTTTTGCAATTTAGAGATAAAAATCTGTGACCCAGAAATTAAGAAGTTGATTAACATTTGCCTGCCTCATATTCTCATTCTCTGTAATGCTTTCATTCTGTGCTGGAATAGGATGCATTATGCAGACTGTATCTAGACAGCGAAATGTCAGCACAGTCAATTTAGAAAATTCAGCTCCTCTGCAGAGAGATAATGTAATCTTTGGCCACTGATTTAAACTGATAGAATTTTCTGCATTCTAGAAATGATTAAGTAAAAACTGCTCAACCTTGCAAATCAAAACCATGCTTGAACTGGAGTCCACTATCCATTTGCCTAATGTGAACAAGGATAATGTATTTGGCATTATTAAATGTAGATCTTCAATGAAGGGCAATTCATTTAAAATGAAAAGAGTAACATGGAAGAGACAAAGGACATTTAGGTCCTAAACAGCAGGTAAAAGTCAGAGACTTTGTCTCTGATAATGGCAGCTCAATGGTAATTTCTTAACAGATAATTCACCTGTCAGTTCTTTCATAGTTAAAGCATTGCACATGTCTTGAAAAAGACTACAGCTTCAATATCACCATTCTCCAACAAACAGAAAATATTAGTAGGGGAAAATTAGGATTAAAGAAGGAAGAAAGCTCACATTATGAAAAAAGCAAATGTCTTTAAAACTGTTGCAAAAATTTCTCTGTACTTAAAGTACTGAAAAGTTTTCTGACTTAATATGAGAGATAGGAAAAGGAACTGGAATGCTATCACTTGTATACATGTTTTTAAATTTTTTAGAGTATACATAAATGAGACTGTACATCATCCACTTATTAATATACCACAAAACCAACAATATATTTTCAGGAAAACATTAAAAAAAGAAAACTCACTAAAAAGTAGTACTGGAGCAACTGGCTCATTGTTTAAAAGAAAAAAATCTTTGCTATGAAACTTTTCCTAAAAATCTTTCTTACAAAACTTTTGTAGGAAAGTTAGGAAATGTTAGGAACGCAAAAGAAATAAGCAATGATAAATAAAATAAAGTTACTTATAATATGTATAAATTTAAATTATTAATATTCATAATATATGAAGGGCTTGTTAAAATCATTTTTAAGTGAGTTTGTCAATGTAAAATAAGCAAATGACAGACAAGGAAATTCACCAAATACAAGTGAAACCAACAACCAAGAAACATGAGAAAGTAAGTTCACATCTACTAATATTCAAAGAAATAGATATTAATACAATCTATTATTTATATTAAACTGGTAAACACTTTCTTAAATTATGATGCACAATTTTGCCTTGGGAGTTTAGAACAAGCACTAAAAATATGGTGATTTTGATGGGAAATTAGCTATATGTGGTTGTTTATCAAAAGCCATGAAGATAACGAATGTCTTTAAGTCACTTATTTTACTTTTAGGAATTTGTGCTAAGAAATTAGTTAGAAAAGTAGGGAAAAATTTAAATATAGGGGAGTTCATTACCATTTTTTAAAGAGGGATAATAAACTATTTAAATAAGGTATGGATCACTGTGGCTTCAAGATGGGATGGGTGAGAGGAAAAACACGGTATGAACATTGAATGACAGGGGAAAATGCTCACAGTGCAATGGTTAGTGGGAAAAAAAAGTTGAAATAGACATCAAAATATTACTCATGCATATCTACACTTAGTGGCCTCATAGTTCTTTATGTTGGCCCAATTTTAAAACCATTTACAGTGCTTTTTAATAAAAAGAACTAAACTAAAATAAAAACCCACAAATGGGGCCGGCCCGGTGGCGCACTGGATAAGTGCGCCGCTTGGGAAGTGCGGCAGCGCTCCCGCCCGAGGGTTCGGATCCCACATGCAGACCGGTTCCTGCTCACTGGCTGAACGAGGCGCGGGGGCAACGCCGAGGGTTGCAATCCCATTGCCGATCCCCGGTCCGGTACGGGGGCAACACTGAGGGTTGCGATCCGTTGCCGGACACGGAAAAAGACAAAAGACAAAAAAAAAAAAAAAACCCACAAATGGAACAATGCAAATATTTGAAATTGTTTTGAAAAATGTTATTAAAATCCACAGAGAAAATACGGTATGGTAAATGGTATAAGGCATTACCTCTTTTATTCATTCAGATCCCAAAAGTTCAACAGAAGCTTGGGGATTGCCAATCAACTTGTTAGTTACAGCATAAATATCATCAATTTCAAAAACAGCTTTGTAAGAAAGTCAGCAGATAACTGACTCATGACCTCCCCAATAGCACCCAACGGTGAAACAACTCAGTCAGGAAATGTTCCCCTCCTGTCAGAGAATAACCTGGTGAAAGCCTCTCTGCTGCAGGAGATCATGGTCCCTCCCTCAGGCTTTTTTGAGTGGAAGAAAGATTCCAAATGTGACCTTATGGGTAAGGAGCAGAGGCATCCTGCTGGGAAAAATCCTTCAAATATAGCCTGCATATTGCCCTTTTTCTCAGCTCAGGAAGCAGTACTGCATATCCTGGACAATGTGAAACTGCTTAAGGCAAATGAAAATACCAGTTGAAATATTACAACTAAGATACTTTAAAGTAAAATTCAATAAATACACTATTTCTGCTCCATTAAAATTCATGGAGCATGGTACCATCATGACTATATGATATACTGTTAAAAGGTACATTAAAGTAATGCACAGCATTTACAGGAAAATGAAAGATTTGAATGCACAAAACCATAGGCAAATATAGGTATCTATAACTGAGAGATTAGCCCAAGCAGAGTACCACATCTTTTGAAAAAGTCAGATTAAACTTACCATGGAGAAAAAATCATGTATGAAAAATATTTAACTGAAAGCAATTCTCAATCTTTATTAGCTACAAACTTAAAAATACCAGTTTATGACATTTAAGCCTAAAATATTGCAATGTAACTAAAAAAAATCCATATGTTAAAAAAAATTCAGATAACTTCTTCCAATATTTCTCGGATAAAAAATAAATGCTGTATGTTTTGAAAATAAATAATCACTTCTATATCAGATAATATTTCAATATATATTGGTTAAAATGGGTCCCTTAAAATAAATATTCAATGTAAATACAGATCTGCCATAATCTCAGAATTTATGGATGTCGGTAATGATGAAAATCAAGTTTTATTGGAAAAAATTTGACATAAAACATGGAGGTATTCCCTAGGTATTAAGTATGTAAAAATTAACATTTTCACATAAAATTTTATTCATGTAGATCTTAGATGAACAATATAAAAGTGGAACTCTATCTTTAAATCAATTTCTTATGACAAAATTTGATTCTTCTACTCCAAGGTTTCTCAACCTCAGCAGTATTGATATTTGGGCCCAGATAATTCTTTACTGTGAGGGACTGTGCATTGTAGCATGTTTAGTATCATTTCTGACCTCTATCCAGTAGATGTCAAGAGCAATCACCCATTTGAGATGACCAAAAATGTCTCCAGACATTGACAAATGTCAGCACTCTGAAAGCAAAATTTCCTGAGGTAGAGTTTGAGTGATTACATTTACTAGTTTAAATGCTTATAGACTTGTCAAGGAGCCTGGTATTTTAGAGAAATTTGGTCAACTTATTTACATGAGAGAAAAATTGAGTGCTAAAGAAGTTATAATGTGCTCATGAATCCTCAGCAGTCAAACCATAGGTAAAACTAGTGTTTTCTAAACAAATGATCAGTGCTATTTCTTATTCCACACATCCTCACTGATAGAGACTATCAATAATTTTATATGCATATTTACAGTTGTGAAAACCTCTGCTTTGAAATTCTATTTTCTCATATGCATTTTTTTCATTTAATTTTCACAGTAACTTTTGAATTTATTTTATTCACTTTAGAAAATTCTGGCTCAGTGCTATTACCAAAGGTCTCAGGACCATGTTTCAACTCAAGACATCTCATTCTGAATCCTGTGTTCATTCCGTTACTCATTACAGTGTCCTTAGTTTAATATTGGGAGTTTTAGAACTGCAGTCTGAGCATTATTGCTTTCTCTTTGCCTCTTTAATTAAAAAAAAAAAAATTCTGTCAATTAACCTTTGTTTCATGACATTCAAATAGAATTAATCTAGGATTTCTCAGACTACCCAAACCTCTCTCATTAAATTCAGTAATATATACAACCTATATATCTCACAGAATCTCCTTGATATGTTTCAATCACATGTATGTGTTAGTAAAACAAACAAAAAAAGTCAAAAGAATAGAGTATAATACTTATCCCTTTGTTGATTTAATTTTAATACATAAAAGTGAAAAGGCATGGGCCGGCCCGGTGGCGCACTCGGTAGAGTGTGGCGCTTGGGAGCGCGGCGGCGCTCCCGCCGAGGGGTCGGATCCCATGTAGAGACCGGTCCGCTCACTGGTTGAGCACAGTGCGGGCGTGACACCGAGGGTTGCGATCCCATTACCGGTCACGAAAAAAGACAAAAAGGAAAAAAAAAAAAAGTGAAAAGGCATGTATGACCAGATATTTATTCAATTTGCTCATATGATATGGTGAAAATAGATATTTCTGCTTTTATACAAACAACGTTTCATTTTCTGATCTAAATTGGACATAGTATGAGTTAAAATTTAGTCATTGTGCTACTGTGGAGGGAAAAATTTTGTGTTGTTCTTCTTAAGGAATTGTCCTAAAATATACACAACCCATAAGAAATGAAAATTTGGAAAAAAACAATAATGTAAATTTCTCATAAAAATTCAGTCTGCTTTTAAATATATTTTATTAAGACACTTCTATTAAATTGGCCAATTCTTATCTCAAAGCCATTGCTATCTTTGATGTTAATAAGCATAAACTGTTATTCTTTTTATCAAATAATGATGAGAGCACAATATGGTACTAAAAGTTAAACATGTCTCACTATCAAAAACTTTAAGTTTTGGGCCGGCCTGGTGGCGCACTGCTACAGTGCGCTGCTTGGGAAGTGCAGCGGCGCTCCCGCCAAGGGTTCGGATCCCACATACAGACCGGCCACTCACTGGCTGAGCGAGGAGTGGAGGCAACACCGAGGGTTGCGATCCCATTGCCGGTCCCAGTCCGGTACGGGCACGACACTGAGGGTTGCAATCTGTTGCCGGTCACGAAAAAAGACAAAAAAAAAAACTTTAAGTTTTATACTATTTCCCTCAAGGTGGAGGAATTGGGTAAGGGACACAAATTTGTCTTGATGAACATGCCAATTATATTGATTTGATCATCAGATGCTGTACACAAATACTGATAGTTAACTCTGCACCCTATGAATATGTATAGTCAAAAATAAATAAACAAACAAGGAAATTCCAAAATACAAAATAAAATAAAATATTGAGAAAAAATAAATGTTAGTATTCTTTGATGACACCAACTTACCTCCTCCCTATGTTCATCTCCTGACCGCTGGATATACCATTTAATAGATGCTTGTTGGGATTTAGGCATACATTCCAGAAAGGTTGAATTAAATTCAATGCCAAAAATCACCTTTTCATCAGCAGTTTCATGACTAATGCCTGGAAAGCAAACATGGAATAGGAGATTAACCTTGACCTGATTTTAAAAGCAATGGGAAAATAGACTGATTTAGAACAGATGCCATGGGGAAAGAATCATGCACATTATTAAAAAGAAAGGAAATTCATGTTATAATATTGTTACTTAAGAGTCAAATATTATACAATAGATTGATTTTTAAAACTCTATCTCCATATTACAAGTTCTACTCTTTCATTAATACATTAACTATTTGCAATTGATTTTTAAAAAATAGTAATTCATGAGATCTAACTCAAAACACTGAGTTTCTCTGATCTGAGTAAACATTTTGCACCTTTTAATGTTTTAAAACCTTTTTGTTTATATAAAATATAACTAGTTTTGTAGATAGTCTAGAAGAACAGTTTACTTCACTTTTAAAGAGAAATTCTGTCATGAATCAGTCCACAGAGCTGAGCAGGTAACATTAAGAAATGTTGATGTCAGGAAAGTAAGTACAGCGGTCTGTAGTTGATGAAATTCTATAGTGATAATAAGCCAGATACTCTAATACTCGGAATGTGAACCTTATTTGTATTATTTACCAATTATTTTTCTCTTTTATTCAGAGGGATTCTATAGCCCAACATGCATTTGCTATGAGATAGCTAATGAGATGCTAAAGGAGCAGTATCTCAGACACCTTATTCTTGTAAATCAACTGCACCACCATCTGAAATACATTCCATCCAGAGAAATCAAAGGCTGCGTCCCATGTGTGATCTGAGATCTGTAGCTCAAGTTTGATCAAATAAAAAATGACAGCTGCTCAGCCTGGCCCAAAGATGCACTTTTTTATTGTATATTCATTCAGATATCTCAATTCTACAGATGGGCCTTCTTAGCATTTTAGGCATTAACTGAAGAGTAAGGCTTCAGAGACTTAAGTGAATCCTAAGCCTAAGCACACACAATTACCAGCAAATGGCATGAATGCACATACACCCAATAGTTAAGAAACTTCTTTTGAACTTATTTGGGTTTTACCAGCAACGATTAAGTCAAGCATGCTGACACCATTATGAATTAACCTCATATAACCTTCAAAATGTGTGGATTCCACTTAAAATCTGTAATCTATCAACTATTTCCACCTATTCATCGTACTATATCTGCAGTTTTCACAGTTAATAAATTCCTAACTCACAGAAAGATCACCAGTGCTGGTCATGGAAGAGAGAGACATACACCATCTCATAGTAACAGACACCGTTTTCCTGAGAAAGGGGGTTTGTCAACAAAACAGAGAGGATGCAGACTAATTGTTAGGTTAGGGGGCAAGGGCTCAGGAGAAACTCAGACCAATTCCACCCAAGAATTGTCAATTAAGTAAAAGATAAATTAGTGAAATCAGCTGGAAAAGTGAAATAGTGAGCGGATTGTCTGAAATCCTTTTTCAAATCAGTAGAAATAATGACTCTATGACACAAAGTCATCTCTACATTGATTTGACTGAAAATGAATTTATTGTCAATTCCAATAATGTTTGTTTCATTTCCAAATTTTAAATTTTTATTTTAAAAAATTTTAAAATATATGTATACATATATACATACATAAACATACAGTATAATATATATTATTTTATTATGATCTAATTTTTAAAAGTGTAAAAGTTGTATATAATAGTGTTTTAACATAGACGATCTATTCATTAAGTGTAAAATAATTTGGAAAAGAGTATTTTAGTCTTCCATATTTCTATCAAAAAATGTTTTTCATAGTGAAGTACCTAGAATATTTCTTTATAATAAATTATGACATAACATTGAAGTATGAGATTAGATTTGATTCACATTTTAAACACAGATCATGTACATGCATTGCTAATTTTATTAATAAACATGCAGTATCATGGCATTTAACAATTTAAGTAATGAACAAAGAAAGAAAAGAAGGAAGAAAAGAAACATCTATTTGCCAATTATTCAAGACTTGATTTCCTACTAAAGTGCATTACACATTTACGGTGGATTAGAATCAAGTCATCTCCTTTCTTCTTTACTACAAATTATCATCCAAATCCGCCCTCTCTCTCCATTAAAAACAAAGTGCTTTACTTTGTAAATACCCTCATGATCTCTACTTTAAGTCCCACAATTGATTCTCTGCCTCTAGCTTCTCCTATTCCAAGCAATTATCTATTTGTCTAGTTGTCAATTACTTTTATTTTGAAAAAGCAAATTTTCTGAGAAGCCTGAAGTAAACATACACTTCATAGAATAACAGAGAGATAATCATAAATTTAACTCAATCTGTATCAGATCTCTCTAATTTTAATTGCTGTTACTTCATCTACTTTATAAAATTTAACTTTCTCCTTAAAGCATGGCTCAGATGCTACCCATCTGAGTATTCCTCCATTTACCCATCCATTTCACAAATATTCTTGTGTGCCTAACATACTGGCACTGTTTTAATTGCGGGGATGAATATGACAGGCAAACTCACTGCCCTTAAGAAAACTGCATCCCAGTGACAAAGTAATCAAGTAAATGAATAAATAAAGAACAGTATCTGGTCATATCTGCTACAAAAAAGTAAATAGAGTAGGGAATATCAGGTAGAAGGGCAGAAAGGTATTTCAGATAGGGTGGTCAGGAAGGGTGTCTTTGAGGAATTAATATTTATCCATAGAATTAAATGATGTGAAAATAGCTATGTGCACATCTGAAGAGAAGAGTTCTTCAGATACAGAGGATAACAAATGCAAACGTATCAGAGGTAGAAACTAGGTTGGTGCTTTTGAAAAAGAGAGAGCTAGTGACTGAACCATGCAACAGTGATGTGAGAGAGTCAGAGGATACAACAGGAACCAGGTCAAGTAGCATCTTACAAGCCGTGGTAAAGGTTGTGGATGTTTTACTCATTGTTCTAAGAAACTAGTGAAAGATTTTAAGTAAGGGAATGACATGATCTGACTGAAGCTTTTAAAAAGGTTACTCTGGCTAATAAATGGGGTACAGACTGAAGAGGTGCCAACATGGAAGAAGGAGACCAGTGAAACAGCTGCTGGAGAGGTAAGGTGGCTTCAGGTAGATTGACATCTATGGAAGTGATGAGAAGTAGTAGAGTTTGGCCACAGAGCCAGAAGGACTTATGGAGAGTTGGTGATAGGATGTGAAAGAAAGAACAGTGTAAACATGACTCCTAGCTGCTTTTTGACTTAAGCAGCTGGGTGAATGGTGGTGCTATTTGTTAATGTGAAAAAGACTGCTCAACATATCGGCTTTGGAGAAGGTGACAGAATTCTTTCTCACGCATAAGTTTCAGATGCTAATTAGGCATTCAAGTGAAACTGTGAAGTAGGCACATAGGGAAGAGTTCAGAACTGGACTAGGAATATCTGAATCAAATAGCCTCTGATGGTATTGAAATTGAAGGTATTAGGGAATAAGTAGGCAGAGAATGGAAAAGTGACTTGGGGCTCTCCAATATTTAGAATGTGGGAGTAAAAGGAAGGTTAACACACTCAGAAGGTGCAGTCTGCAAGGTAAGAGGCAACCCGGGGGCATGCGGTGCTGTGGAAGTAGAAGTGTGCTGGGCACGGTTTCTCTGAAAACAGAGGCCTGATTTTCCTGGTGTAAATACCTCTACCATGGCTTATTCAAGCCACCAGTGGTTTAAAACTAGCTCACAAAATTGCTAAATAGTAATTAAACAACTAGCTGTCATGAGGCCACATGAACTGGCTCCAGCACACTACTACATGGAGGTCAAGATAGGAAAGTGTTTCAAGGAAGATGGAGTGAGAGATGAAGTAAACACGGAAACTGAAAACTGGCCATTGAATGTGGCAGGGAAGACTGCTGGTGACCTCGACAAGAGCGGACTGGGTAGAGTGATGGTGATGATGATTAAAATAGACTGTGTGTAGTGGTAAGCAAGAGTGGTACATGGTGACGTAGAGACAGTAATTGTAAGTGCCTTAGGCAGCAGCTGTGTTTCACTTTCTCTGTAACATTTATCATCATCCGACGTAGCATTTATTTTACTTGTTTTTATGTTTACTGTCTGCTCCCTCCCCTAACACACACCTGAATATAAGTTCCATAAACACACAGATTGTTTTCTTTTTTGTTCATTGATGTATCTTCATTACCTACAACAGCCCCAGGTAAGTCTCATATGCACATGTGAAGTATTGCATACACAGCACACGGTAATGATGGCTAAATAAAATATTGGACACGACAGGGAGTCGTGGACACATTAGAACAAACACACTGTTCTAAACCAGAGCTTAGTTTTCAAAAGAACAAAGTTATGAGTTAAAAATAACTGTTTTGTTTTTAAATCAAGAAAATACTGTTAGACCACCAGTTATAGACTATGAAATTTGAGTTATTTCCATCCCTGGTGGGGTGGTTACTAACAATGTGCTAAAGAAAAGTGCTTTCCTTCACCCTTGAGAGCAAAAAGTAACTAAAGCTCTGGAATATGTACTTTCACTGAATTTTTTCTGTTTTCAGACTCACTCACTGCACCTCCTCTCTATTGTCCACCCTGCCCCTCTCCTAGTATGACATTCTAGATCTTCCATTCGACTAATTTTTTTCTGAGTGATAAAGCCTCTGGTGATCTCTCTTTTCACTAAGCTCCCCTATCACTAATTGTGCCTTATGACATCTCCCCAAAGAATCACAAGCTCCCTAAGGAGTTTCTTTGTCTCATAATATACCCAGGACAATTATATGCACAAGAAAGTCACTTAATAAATATTTACTGATTGAATGAATACATGAATTAATAAGTCAATACAAATAAAGTATAGGCTACCTAAAACTTCTTTCTAATAAGTACCTACACTTTACCAGGCTTTTCTGAGAGGTCTCTATGAGTTTACTCTACATGTCCAAATGTTTTTGGCTATATCCCGCTTTATCTCTAATAGCAGTTTTCAAACTTTACAAGGATGAATATGCCAGTAAAAAAGAAACAAAAGCTATGATTTAGGAATTTTAAAAGACATATGAAACAAATAATGATATAATAAATAAAGGATTATTCACTTAGGCATGTAGACAGGTTGACATAGAATTTCCTGTTGTTTTTCCAGAACATTAAACAAAATGAGATCTTCCTATATAATAGATGTTTTAAGTCATATAATAAAAAGACACACAAACACTAGGCTTAACATTTTAAATGGGAGAAAAAAGCATATTAAACCTATACTTACTGTCTTCTATGTCCCAGCACTGGGTGATTGGGTCCCCATACTTTACATCTTGGCGTCTAGCTCGCCTATGGAAAGAGGATTACACAAATTAGAACTTCAAGCATGATAATCGGAATATAGAAAGGCTACATCTAATGCTAGTAACAGTGGCAGATGCAAAACTATGCTTGTCCTACTGCTCAACTTAAATGCAGGTCAATTTTCCAATCAACCAAACATTAATCCAAATATTACTGGTAGTAGAGTCTTAATAAAACAAATCCTTTTTTGCCAATAAGATGACCTGAATTTTATTTAGCTGTTATCCTTTTCTCTTTCTCTGATTTTTGACAAATTATTCAACAGAACAGTTGGATATAAATATAATCCAGGTTTTATATATATAAAATGGAGATAACTATTCCTACCCTCTTTTAGTCAGTCATTGGGAAAGTAATTGAGAAAGCAATATAAAAGAACTTAAGTAGTGGGTAGGAAAGTACACATAAATATAGAATATCTTATGTAAAGATTCATTATTACACAGAGTTGATTAAGCAACAAGTTATATACTGTCATTTGAAATAGAAGTACAAGTTTCATATGGCATAAGTGGCTAAATGTTGTTTCTATGGGCTGATGTATATTTCACACTGATTTTCTGGTAGTGGTGATAATAATAGTAACAATAACAATAACAGTGGCTTTTGCATTATGTTACATATTCTTTGACAGAAAATAGTAACTATTGTATAAAAATGGAAAAAATCTGCTACAGCTAAATGGCTTACACTCAGTATATTTTCATTTGCTTTGGCTATTTTATGCTGCCACTGCAGCAATCAGAGAAGTAACAGTAAACCTTCTGCAATATCTAGGGTCCTCCTTAAGGCAATGCTGATCAGATGACAACCTTGCAAAACATTCATTCATCGTATACATCTTTTGGCTCGTACAAATACGTTAGGTAAGGGAAAACTTCACAGTGGCATATCTGTAAGATCAGAGATGCAATCTTGGGAAATACAAGAAGAAAAATTTATGATGGTATAAGGAACATAAGGTCAAGAATGTTTTTAAATCTTGGCTTCTAAAGGAACAGGGTCAATTCATCAAACTGAAGGTTTATTACCAGCTAATGAGCATTCTTGATGTTTAGCTTCTACAAAAGCATTCCCCAAAGACTACTATGATAAGTACACTTTTGGCCAGAACCTATAACAAAATGTGAATGACTTTAAAGTTTTAATTTCTAATAATTGTATTTACCCACTTACATTTAATTCAGAGATTTCAGAACATTTAAAACGTCTACTGATTTTAAGCAATATTTGCTATTATACTATACATTCAATCTGTGATTCCCAGAATTTAGAATTTGACAAATAAGTAAAATTTCAAAAACAAAGTGTGCATGTGGTAGTGAGACTAACATATGATCACCTGTTATTTTGATTTTAAAAAAAGATTTAAAGAATAAAAATATACCATATATAATTTGCTGACATTTTGCTTAAAGGAAAATATACTCAGAGCAATACTTTAGAAAATAATGTTACTATAACCCACATTTTAAAATCATTATCATATTTAACTACCTTCAATCATACTGATGGACATCCAGTTTGTTTCCAGTTATTTTGCTATCAAAAACAGTGCTTGAAATGAACAACCTTGAGTATATAACTTTGTAGCACTTTTGCATGTGTGTATAGAATAAATTCCTAGCTGGGAATTGTTGGCTATGTTTAAGGGCACATAAGCAACGAACTACAAACAGCAGGCCAACAGTTTGTTGTTTAAGTATACCTGAGTGGCAGAAATTGATGAAATTAGAGTTATTAATATAAAAATAAAATTGTACCAAGTCACTGGTAAACACCGTGGACTGTACATTATCCACACTTTTACAAACTCACATTATCTGCACTTTTACAAACTCATACATTGATAAATTACTTGCAAAATGGTAGGGAGGTATGAGTATATACTCACACATATTTAGATATATGAAGGAAGAAAATAGGAAAAGTAAAGTAGTGAATAAAGACAATGTTTTAATGGTCTTTGACATAAATGAAGGAAGCTAACAAAGAATTTATCAATTTTTTTAGCTCCACATGTCAAAATTTCAGAACATCTGTTATATCCTGCTTCAAAATTTAGTTTGATGTGAAACTATAAACATTTTAATTTTAATATTCCTTGCATGGACCAATTGCAAGAAATATTTTCCCTTTGGCTTAAACTGTTAAGACGAGGCATTTGTTTGAGATATTTGTCTCCTGGAAAAGAAGGCTTCACAAAAACTCAATGTGCCTTTCACCTTTTTGAAGTGGGTGCATATCGAGAGCATGCATTTCCATCCCAGGCACAGTAGGGGTCTCTGGCAAGACAACAGTCAGCACAAGCTTTCCCATAAGTGTCGCATCTGTGCAAGGAGAGCTGAACCAATCCGTCTCGGGAACCAATGTACAATTGTTGCTGCAAATCAGGCAAAACAAATGAATTAGAAGCCTCTTTCAGACTAGTCTTAAGAACTTCCCTTTCTCAAAGACCACGTGACAGATTTAAATCTGTTTCCTCTGGTGTCCTGCCTATTGTTAATGCTTGTACAGAAACATAACAAAGAATAAAATGTCATTCCCTTCTACTCCTGGTAGGATGGTGGTTTGAAGAAGTCAGCATTCTATAGAACTAGAGTATGCTTGGCAGTAATTTAAGAAGGTCAAAACCCAGCTGCTATACTGAAGAATTAAAATGTCAAATTTCTTCTCAATAGTAGAAAATATTCTTTGGTTAGATTACATCAAGCACAGATGCTATAAGCAAAACTGATGGTCTTCCTCTGCCATGGCTCATCTCATTAGAGATGAGATTTACATAAATTTTTTTGAATTAATCATTTCATTTGCTAATGAAGTATTGATCCCTGAAAGAACATGGGCTATAAATGGAACAGAAAGTATTCGGTATCACTATGAAGAAAGTATTAAGCAGGGTTGAGGGATTTCCATATCACAAATGAAAGGCTGAAGGATATTGAAAGAAACATAAAATAAAATTTCATTTAAAAAATAAGTCCTGAAATTAATGCACTGCTCCCTATATGCGTTCATTTGCGTGTCTGTGGTAGTGATGGTGGAGCGGATGGGATGATGCAAGTGCCTAAGCCATAGTCTGTACCTTCAAATAACTCATGCTCAACTCTAGTGGGCCATGGAAAGCTTTCGATGAAAGACGAACATCTTAGAAATAGATATTGGCATAAGTAACATATGTGTATTCAGCCTACAGATATCTGTTTTATACCTCTGCTGCCCATTAAATGTTAGTCAAGACTTTCGAGTTGCTAAATGCAATGAACTCTGGCTAGTAGTTGTTTCACTAATGATTATACCCTCCTTGAAACTTTCTCTACTTTCTCCTGTTTTTCGTCTCTATTTCTGCCTAAGAATTCATCTTTTGGGGGATTCTTTGATTTGAATTAGATGTTGTGTTTCCCTCTTTGCTATTCTCATTTCTTTACCCATTTTATCATACAAGGACTCAGAGGTATTTGGAAAATAATAAAAACGTGAACATAATAATTCCCCCAAATCTACTACTCCTGCTCTAGCTTGGCAAGAGGCACCATGATCACTCACCCAGGCACCCAAGAAATAAATCTGGGAGTTGTCTTTAAATTTTCTTTTTGTCACATTCAACCTGTCACCATTTCACATTCATTCTCTCATATAGAACTTTCTAATCTATTTTGCCCTCTTCCTCTCCACAGCTATTACCCTTGCTTTGGTTCTTATCATTTCTTTCCTGGACTACTTGTAAGTGTTCTAACTATTTCTGCTGGCTTCAGCCCTTTTTTCTCAGCAATTCCCACCTCTACCCCAGGTCCCAATCCATCTTGCTCACTGCCACACCAGACTGATCTTTCTAAAAAGAAAAACATTATCATGACATCCTCCTGCTTAAATTTTTTAATAGTCTTCGTTGTCCTTAACATAAATTGTTAAACTTCTCAGGAGGACATATAAGGATGTGCTTTCTCCTGCCCTGGCTTACTTTTCCAGATTCATTTCTGGCTTCTTACCCCTCATACACACATATGCCCCTTGCTCCAATTGTACACAAATTTGTTACAATAAGCTGTGGTCTCTCACTCTTCACACCTTTGTGAATGTTCTCTCCTTCTACTTGGCACATACTCTATCTTTCTATCCCTTATCAGGTTAACTACAACATCCTTCATGGCTCAGGTTGTTGTCTCTTCTTTAAGCTCTTTTCCCCTGTTCTTTCTGGCTCCCTTCCAGGCTACTTTCTCTCCTCTGTCTCTCTAGTATACACTACTATTATTACTCCGAATTGTTATCATGTTCTTTTGTCTCTCATCTCCACTGTGAGCTTCTGGAGGGTAATGGCTATGACATGCATTCATTTCTGTACCCTCCAAGCACAGTAGCAGGCTTTCAAGAAACAAATGCTAAACTAATAAGCAAATTAATGGAAAAGACCTGAAGAAGAAACCTATTTAAACCTTTCCCTAATGCTAGTGCTCTGCCATACTACACATAGTCGGTTAAGACTATTTTATGAATGCCTTAATGTTAAACATATTATTATATGACTTTCTCAGATCTTGGGGGTGCATATAGAAATGGTAATGCAAGTCTGAATCGTTTGAGTCTCTTGGGATTTGGAGTAGCAGGAACTGTAAAATCATATTAAATGTTATTACCATTAGTATAATTAGCTACGATATACTTTATATTTATAATGTGCCATCTCTCTGTTTAGAACTTCGTATGCAGCATCCTATTTAAACACAAAACACACTTAGGAGGTGTATATTGTTTTTCTAACTTTACTGTTGAGGAAATTGATTCTGAGAGTCAGATATTAAGCAGTATGTTAAAGGTTGACCACTGGTCACTTTACAACACTGTCTATATTCTAACTCCTATACTCTCTGATTAGAATCCCTTTTTAATGGTTACGGTGGATATTTCTTATGGTCTTTAGAGAAAGACATCCTTGTGAAATTAGAAAAGTGAGCTCAGTTTTTAAGAGCCAAAGGAAGGGGAGAATATAGCGTTCAATTAATCAAATTTGGTTCCATTTCTTCTAGGGCAAGGCAAAAAAAAAAGAAAAAAAGAAAAAGAAATCCTTCTAATCAATTAATCAATTATAAGAGAAACAAATAATCTAAAACATTTTACATTACTTACAATTTAACTTCCAATTTCAATGGATTTTCTTTCACATAAACTTTGATTCGAGCAACCTGTTGCTTTTGTGGTTAATTTTTACACAAAAATTAGAAAGTACCTGCTTCAGAGACAACTCCATGTTCAAGATGATTGATGGGTGCTGAAAATAGAAATTAAATGTCAATACAGATAATCATTAACAGGCTTTAATATTAATCAATATATTTTTATCTTATACCAAAGATTACTGAACTAAACATCAAGGCTCTTTTATGTAGGGGGAAAAAGAATCCTATTGTAGACTATTTTCTTCCAATATATGGTGATTCTACCTTAATAGAAATGGTGAAAATAATTATTTTAAAGTATCTTATGAAGGAAAAACTATCTAAATGTATGAGGAAACACTGCATTGAAAATTGTTCCCAGTTACCCACAAGTAAGTTTTCTTCTTCTAAATCTGCTTATCTTAACTGCTTCCATGTAATTCAAACTAGTGTTGACAAGAACATCTAAATAATTATTTATTACCTCTTTCTGGTCTTACTTAGCCCAGTACAAAACTTGTTCAAATAAGAGAGTTCTGAAAAGTTATAGTGCACCTGTGGGTGACCATATTCTTTACACAACACTATAAGACACTGATGGTCATAATTTCGTGATATGAACTAAGGCCAGTTTTATCTGTAGAAAATATGGCTCTACACATGAAAGATAAAATCAGAAACATGAATCCAACATCTATCAAACCAAAAACGACAAGATGTTTAATAAAAATTTTATTATCTACTATTCATTCATTTCTCGCCAGCCCGTATTTATCAGTTGACAAACAGTAGCAGATGTCAAAGATTTAAGAAAATATATGAAAGAAAATTTTAAGTGAGAAAATTCTACCTAATAATTTTTTTGTTATGAATTTTGAAAGAACATGGCCAAACTCATCAAATTATATGCATTAAATATGTGCAGTTTTTCATACCTCAATAAAGCTGTTTAAAAAACAAAACAAAAATAGTGGAATCCAAACAATTCCTTTTGACCTCTCTCTAATAACCATTGAATGAGACTCATTGTAATGTGCCTATGTGTGTTATGAGGACTTTATTTTTGGCCTCTGGGTTCACACTTATATTTGACATCTGCCTTTCCCTTAGGAACCACCCAAGGGTTTGTTTTGGTAGAGGCCAGATAGCAGGTCTTGTTCTTGTTAACTCCTTGACCACTATTATCATCACAATGTAAACAGGATCCTGCACAACCCAGCAACTTAATTAACCTGAACCCCTTACAGGGGAGGGCTCTAGTCTCTTTTAAGGTAATAGATGTTTATAAGCAAAAAGTCTGTTTTAATAAACTGTCTCAACAAAAATGTTACCAAAGACAGCATGTATTTTAAAAAGCTTTTCTAAGATATACAATATTATTTCTAATATTATTTTCAAGAAATAATTTTAAATTAAATTTCATTGGGGATCTACAAAGAATGCCACAATTCAAATTTATTGGTAAAAAAAAGTCAAACATTCTCAAAACCTGGAGAACTGTTGTTTTAGATCTACTAACTCCTTTTGTCAGGTCAGAGGAATTGAACATACATGAAGACTCATTATCATGCAAGCCTTTTTAAAAAAAATTTCTTTACAAAAAAAATCAGAGGTGCATGATTTATACACTCTTCCAGTTTTCTCAAATTCAATTGGGGAAAAATTGAAAGTAAAATTTATAAAGTAGAAAAGTATCTGGATAGTAAAAGCAATCCTGGGATTTTTTTTTGGTCTTTTTTTTGTGTGTGTGTCCGGCAACGGATCGCAACCCTCAGTGTCACGCCTGCACCTCGCTCAGCCAGTGAGTGGGAACCGGTCTGTATGTGGGATCCGAACCCTCGGCGGGAGCGCCGCCCCACTCCCAAGCGGCGCACTGTAGCAGTGCGCCACTGGGCCGGCCCAACTAGGATTTTATTTAATGTGGCAATTTGTCTGACTATATGGTTAGAGAATGCAGTAATGAGGGGCAATACCAGGAGTTTTGGATTCATGATATTCTATAGAGGAAGGTGCGTCCCATTCTCAGTAACTTATGACACATTTTCCATTGCTTAGAGAAAAGAAAAATAAGGGAGCAAATTTCAAAGACCCCTCCAGGAAAAGTGATGATTTATTAAAATAAGTGTGCTTGTAACGAGGACTACTCAGTTTCACCATCTCTTCACTTGGAACTCTGGACTGAGGCTTACCTTGAATATCTGCAACTCCTCCAGCACTACCTCTTCCATATTCCACTTCTCCTTTGAAATGCTGACAACTTTTAGGAGGGTTCCAATGTCTTAAAAAAGAATACATAACCCATGATCCTGTTGTTTCTATTTCAATATTTAGTTCTAAGCATATTCCTAGAATCCCTCAAATTGTTCCCTTCACTTTTCTTTAAATGCCTTTCAAAGAACCAGATTAAAGCATGTAAAAAAGTGAAGCTTAATGTATATAATTTTCCCTTCAGAAATATTATAGCTTTTAGCTAGTAGAAAACATATTTACTAAGAGAATATTAAAATATACTCATAGTATTTTCTTAACAAAAATAATATATATATCAGATTTAACTATTGGTTGAAATGATAACAGAGGTGGAAAACTAATTCTCTCTCTCTCTGCAACTAATATACATTCAGTACTTATATTCAATTCAACATAAAAGGCAAGATATAAGATATACATTCTTTTAATAATGTCAACAAATGGACAAGAGATCATTGAGGCTATCTACATGGGGAAATTGTAGCTCACTCTACAAATGTATTATACCTTCAAAATCACTATTAATGTGCTAGTAACAAGTTGTGTTTAAAATTATTTTAGTTCCACTTAAAAGACAATACAAGGAAGAATCAATGTTGTGAAAATGTCTATACTACCCAAAGTGGTCTACACATTTAATACAATCCCCATCAAAATACCAAAGATATTCTTCACAGATATAGAAAAAGCAATCCTAAAATTCAAATAGAAAAATTAGACCCCAAATAGCCAAAGCAATCCTGAGCAAAAAAAAAAAAAAAAACAGAGGAATTATGTTACCTGGCTTCAAACTATACTACAAAGCTGTAGTAACCAAAACAGCACAGTATTGACATAAAAGCAGACACATGGATCAATGGGACATAACAGAGAACACAGAAATCAATCCATATACTTATAGCCAACTGATCTTCAACAAAGTCACCAAGAACATACACTATGGAAAGGACAGCCTCTTCAGTAAATGGTGCTGGGAAAACTGGATCCATATGTCTCACCATATAACAAAATCAACTTAAAATGGATTAAAGAATTAAATATAAGACCTGAAACTAAAACTCCTGGAAGGGAACATTTGAGAAGCACTTCAGGATGTAGGACTGGGCAAAGACTTAATAAATAAGATCCTCAAAGCATAAGCAAAACAAAGGGAAAGATAAACAAATGGGACCATATCAAACTAAAAAGCTTCTGCACAGCAAAGGAAACAATCAACAGAATGAAAAGACCATCTATAGAATGGGAGAATATATTTGCACACTACATGTCTGACAATGGATTAATATCCTGAATACAGAAGTAACTCAAACAACAGTAACAAAACCAAATGATCCACTTTTTAAAAAAAGGGCAAAAGAGCTGAATAGACATTTTTCAAAGGAAGACACACAAATAGCAAACAGACACATGTTAAACTGCTCAACATCACTAAAATTCAGGGAAATGCAAATCAAAACCACATTTAGATATTATCTCACCGAAGTTAGACTGCCTATTATGAAAAGGAGGGAGAATATGAAATTATGGTGAGGATGCAGAGAAAGGAGAACCCTTCTACACTGTTGATGGCACTGTAAATTAGTACAGCCATCATGGAAAACAGTATGGAGATTTCTCAAGCAACCACAGATAGAACTACTGTGTGATCCAGCAATCCCACTCCTGATGGAATGGAAATCATCGTGTTGAAGGATACTTGCACTCCCATGTTCATCGCAGCTCTGTTTACAATAGCCAAGACATGGAACCAACCTAAATGTCCATCAATAGATAACTGGATAAGAAAAATGTGGTATTCATATACACAATGGAATGCTACTAATCCATAAAAAACGAGTGAAATTTGGTCATTAGTAGCAACATGGATGAGTTTGGAGAAAATTATGTTAAGTGAAACAATCCAGGCATAGAAAGAGAAATACCACATGTCCTCACTCATAAATGTGAGCTAAGAATGAATGAATGAATAAAAGAAGGAAGGAAGGAAGGAAGGAAGGAAGGAAGGAAGGAAGGAAG